CTCGCACTTTGTGGGCAGTTGAGCCACGGGGATTTGCTGAGGGGAGTCCTGCGCGCGTGCCCCCCGCGTGCAGCCCCGGCTGCGCTAACAGCGGCCCTCAGGCAAGCGGAGGTATCCACCGAGTCAGGAGAGAGGACGGCGGGCATCTGCCGCCGCCCAGAGGACGAGGGGAGACGTCGGGAGCTCACGAGCTGGCTCCAAGCTGACGAGAGGCGACGGCAGGAGACGGTGGGGAGGAGTGAGCGGCACGGTGGCATGCTGCCAGGGGAGCGAGCGCAAAGCTTGCTCGACGACCCCTACCCCGATGTGATCCTACTGCGAGTGGGACGCGACCCAGATGGAGGACCGCAGTGCTGGAACCAGTGTGGGAGGAGCTGCGCTCGCTTGGAGCACGACTGGAGCTGGTACTGCTGTCGGACATGCCGTGACACGGATGGCGACACCCATGGGCCGCACTGTCAGGCACGACACGAAGACCTCCAGAGGAGGCAGAGGGAGGCTGGCTACCGCCCCCCAGCGGGCGAGCAGGCTAGTGGCAGCGGCGGTCCAGGAGCCCAGGCAGCAGGCGAGGAGGCTTCGAGGCACCCGCCGCCCAAGGCGGCGCCGGACGGTCGCCTCCCACCCATCTGGGAAGAGCAGCGGCCTGCGGTGGTGAAGGCGCCGCCCAGCACGGCCAGGGAAGGCCTGCAGCCCGAAGGTTCACCCGCCGGGGGGTCGCAGGGCCCGCTGGTGGGTGGCGGAGGAGACCCACTGGCCACCAGGAGCCGGCATGCGGGAGGTTCAGAGGATGAGAGCTGGGGCCCCTGGACGGCCACAGGGCGATGCGTGGTTGCCGAAGGAGTGGGAGAGGGCGCCAGCGTTGCGGATCAGGCCCCACCTCCCCCAGAGGCGAGGGAAGCCTTGCGGCCGTGCCGGCTCCCAGGGTGCCCCTACTTGGAGCACTCCCAGCCCGCGACTGCAGTCGACGGGGGAGCACTGTGGCGGCCAGGGTTCTGCTGCAACAAGTGCGCAGGGCGGTCGGAGGGAGCGGACTGGGCAGAAGGAGGCGCGAAGCACTTCAGGCATTGCGAGAAGATGCCCCACGGCCAGCCACCCCCAGGTGGGGAGGGGCCGTCAGAGACCGCAGCAGCAAGTAAGAAGCGCAAGCAGGAGCGCAAGCAAGAGATCGCAGCGGCCGCCGCCCGGGCGCTGGCCGCCGCTGCGTTGGCTGCCCCCCCTGCGGGGTCTGAGTCCTGGGCCGCGGAGGGGCAGGGCGAGGAGAGCGGCAGCGGAAGTCCGAGCGAGGAGTGCCCCCCCCCGTCACCAGGGGAGCTCGCCCGGCGGGCGCGTGCGGAGCGAGGGGCTGCCCGGCAGAGGAAGGCGGAGGCAGCTCGGCCCGAGGATGGGGCCGGGCACCCCGGTGCGGGGCAGGCGGAGTACATCCACCTAAGGGCGAAGACCCCACCTGCACCAGCAGCGGTCGAGAGGTCGGAGGAAGAGCCCCCGGCAGAGGTCGCGCGGGCGGCTGGTCAGACTTACCGTGCGCTCGCTAGGCGGGTAGAGTTTCAGAGGACAGGGCTCTGGTCCGCACCAGAGGAGGAGGACCGCCCCAGGGGGAGGGCCGCCGGGGTGGAGACGTCGGTGGTCCACCCTCGGCCTGGCCGAGAGCCACTCCCGCAGCCAGAGGGGCGGGCCGACCGCGAGCCGCTGCCCCAACCAGGAAGTTGGGCGCCCCCTTCGGGGGAGTCGAGTGGGTCCCGCGGGCCGGAGAAGCGGCCACAGCCCCCTGGTCACCGGGCGGAGGAGGACCCGCTCAGGCCTGGCGGACCTGCACGTGCGGCCGAGGCCGTGAGGGACCTCAACTCACCTGAGTCCTACTCGGAGGAGGACTATGAAGAGACAGAGGAGGAGGCCGAACCACTTCGGCCGGTGCCTTTCCCAGGAGGCGGCCCAGACGCCCGCTATGCGTGGTGTGAGTACTGCGGTGTGCAGGGCGAGGGCCGGGACACGAGCTGCCCGAAGTGCAACAAGACCTACCCCATTTCGATGGCCAAGGACCGGTTGGCGGCCGCGCAGAGGGCAGCCAAGGCAGGGAGTGCCGCCGCGGTCGCCCCCCGGCACGGGGGAAGAGAGGAGCGCGAGCGTGAGGAGGTGGCGCGGCGTGCGGCACCGGAGGCTGGACCGCCCGAGGACATCGACCCAGAGGCGGTGAGCCGGTACCTGGAAGCGGCAGCAGGCAGCGGACAGGGCAGCGAAGGGCTCGAGCGGCAGCTCAGGCGGATCGCCAGGGAAGACTCCAGGCGTGCCGGCGGGCGTGCCGATGCTGGGTACGCGCCAGAGCTCCAGAGGTTGGTAGACGCAGCCGTGGTGGCTTCGGTGGCCAAGGGGACGACGGCGACCTACGGCGTCGCTTGGAGGCAGTGGACGACGTTCTGCCGGATCCGTAGGAGGTCGCCCATCCTGCATGGTGAGACTCGTGAAGAGCGTCACCAAGATGAGGAGGAGCTGCTGCTGTTCATGGTGCACCTGTACAACAGCCTGAAGCGGTCGCACGGGACGATACGGTCAAAGTTGCTGGGGATCCGTTCACACCACGTGATGCTGGGTGAGCCCGACCCCTTGGCGGGTAAGCCGCGACTGTGGATGGCGTTAAATGGGATAGAGAACTGGCAAGGGCCCGGAAAGAGGAAGCTCCCGGTTACGACCAAGATGCTGAGGAGAATCCGAGACATGCTGAAGCCGGACACTTGCGCGGACGACGCGGCCTTGTATTTCTGCGTGATCTTCGCTTTCTTCTTCATGATGCGGATTGGGGAGTACGCCCACTCGGGGCACTGGGATTTGAAGAAGGTCTTGACCGGGCTGGACATTGCCCCGAAGTGCAAGGGCGAGCAGGTAAGCCACTTCGCTGCCGCGGACGAGGTGGTGCTGTGGTTCAAGGCGTCGAAGGCTGACCAGAAGGGAGCAGGGCAGGCGAGGAACCACTACCGCTCGAACGACCCGTTCGGCATCTGCCCGGCGTGGGCGGCGGAGTGCTACAACCGCTGGTTCCCGAGCCGTATCGCGGGCAAAGAGGCACATTTACCACTTGCGAGGTGGGAAGATGGCATCCCGATCACGCGGGAGCGTATCCAGGGCTTGCTTCAGAAGGCGGCGGCGCTGGAAGGCTACCCACCCGACAGGTTCAAGAGCCATTCGCTCCGAATCGGCGGGGCGACGGCCCTGTACCACTGCTTCCAGGACACGGAGCTGGTCAAGCGTTGGGGGCGGTGGAACAGCGGGGCCTTCCACCAGTATTTGTGGGAGGCGAATGAGGACGCCGCTGGGGTGTCAGAGGCGATGGCGAAGTCTGTGGCAACCCTGCATGTGGGGTACAAGGTTGAAACGGCGGGAGGCGGACCGGCTGCTGATGTGAAGGAGAAGCCGGGAGCCTGAGGCCAGTACCAGGAGTGCGAGTGTTGAGCCAAGGCGTGTCACCACTGGAGGAGCCGTTGCTGGATTGTGCGCAGTCCTGGGGTAATGGCCTGGGGGCAGTGGCGACCCCCTGGATCGACGGACGGAGGTGAGGTGGAGGAGGGCCGCGAGCCCCAGTCGGCACCACCCGCAAGTCACGGGCGCCGAAGGGGCGTGCGGAGGTGAGGAGGCCGAGGGCCGGGGCGTCCCGCCAGTGCGGTCCCCGAGGAGAGGCGGAGGTGGCTGGGGCGTCCCGCCAGTGCGGTCCCCGAGGAGAGGTTGAGGAAGCCGGCTGGTGCTCCGCCAGCGCCGGCACGCGCTGTGCAGTGAGGCGCCCAGCTGTGAGCCCTGTTCGGCACCACCCGCAAGTCACGGGCGCCGAGGGGGTGAGAGGAGCTGGGTGGCCGAGGAGCCGCCGGTCTGGCGGCACAGCTGGGCCTCGGCTGAGGCCCGGCCTGAGCTTGGAGAAGGAGAGGGGCGGCATGCGCCTGATGATGCCAAAAGGCGCGCGCGCTCGCTGCCTCTGCCTTTTCCGTTGTGAGCCCGAACTGTGCTTGTGCTCGCCGCGTTGCCGTCGCCCCGGGCACTCACTGTTTGGTTTTCTGCCAGGCACCTTCTCACTTAAACGTGAGAGTTTGAGCATGCGTAAAACGTAGGGTTTCAGGGAGTAAGTGCCTGGTGAGGGGGAAGGGTCTCTCCTGCTCTCTGTCCCTTTCCCCCATCCGCGGCCCCTTTGGGGCTCAAGTTTCTCTCTCGGGCCCTTCCCTCCCAGGCCCTCCCTGGCCCTTCGTATTTTCCTTTTCCTTTTTTCGGCCTTGACCGCTTAGCGGTTCGGGCCGAGGAGCCGCCGGTCTGGCGGCACAGCTGGGCCTCGGCTGAGGCCCGGCCTGAGCTTGGAGAAGGAGAGGGGCGGCATGCGCCTGATGATGCCAAAAGGCGCGCGCGCTGCTGCCTCTGCCTTTTCCGTGTGAGCCCGAACTGTGCTTGTGTCGCCGCGTTGCCGTCGCCGCGGGCACTCACTTTGGTTTTCTGCCAGGCACCTTCTCACTTAAACGGAGGGGAGGAGGAGGAGGAGGAGGGGGGAGGTGGAGGAGGGAGGAGGTGGAGGAGAGGTGGAGGAAGGAGGGGAGGAGGAGCGAGAGGGGAGGGGAGGTGGGAGGGGGGAGCTGGGGAGGGGGAGGGGGTGGAGGAGGGGGATACGGGGAGGGGGAGGAGGTGGAGGATGGTGTGAGGAGGAGGAGGAGGAGGAGGAGGAGGAAGAGGAGGAGCAGGAGGAGGAGCAGGAGGAGAAGGAGGAGGAGGAGGAGGAGGAAGAGGAGGCGGCGCTCGGCACTGCGCTGGGTGCCTGGAGCAAGGGCGGCTATGAGGCCACCACTGGGGCCGCTCCGCTCCGCGCGGGGCGTCAAGCGTCGGCGGGGGCGCGGCGGGGCCGCCCGTCGGCCAGAGGTCTGCGCGCGGCCTCGGCCTTCGGGACGGCGCTCGCGTCTGAGGCTTCAGGCCAGCAGCTGCGCTTCCTGCTAGACCAAATGATTAACCAAAGAGTTATTACCTCCGATACCTCACCCCTCCCCTAAGCCAAAATGGCGGGTGCTAACACGCGGCTCCGACTGGCGATGCCAGCGTGGCTCCCATGCCACTCGGCCATTAAGAAGGATCTCCTCAGGCGATTCAGATTGGGCCAGAGCGCCGCAGGATAGGCGAGCCTGCCACGGGGGCCCAATGCGTGACAATCTAAGTGAGCTGATGCGCTGCGCCATCGCCTGGCATGCACGCCTTGTTCCATGCGTGGTTCTGCCCGTGCCTGATCGCATCCTTTAACTACGCCCCGCATGGAACAATGCGAGCCCGACATTATCTGCGATGAAGAGCAGGACCTCGCCTCCCGTGAGCCCTAATCAGACTTTGGATGCGGCGGAAAAAAATGATAGCCGGAGTGCAGTATCCCCAAACAGGGTTTTAGACCCACTGCGGTTTCCAAGGTCGATTGCGTGCCCGTCCAGTGCGGGCTGGCATGGCATGTTAAAACATGCCTCCTCCTCCTCCTCCTCCTCCTCCTCCTCATCCTCCTCCTCCTCCTCCTCCTCCTCGTCCACCTCCTCTTCACCCCGAAAAGCATCTCGGAGCCCAGAATTGCGAGGATGTCTCCAGCGTAACGGGCTGGACCACCTCGCGCGCGGCATTTCGGACCCCAGAGTTGCGACGATGTCTCGGGCGAAACGTGCTGCGAGTACCACCTCGAGCGCGGCGTCTCAGAGCGTTTGCGGGGGCCTCTGGTGCCTCATGGGGGGCTCTGGGGACCTCCGGGGGCTGCCTCCTGGGCCTCCTGTGCCTCCTGAACTCTTCCTGAGGGGTTCTCCGAAGGTCTTGGGGCTCCCAGGGGGGATATCTAAAACCTGTGCCGCTTGGGCCCCTCCAAAATACAGGGGGGGCCACAAGAGAAGGAAAAATACGAATCGACACCGGATGGTGAATTAACTTGACACGTTCTGATATGGGGGGCCTCCTGGGGCCGTCCTGGGAGCCTCCTGGGAATCTTCCTGCGGACTCCTGGGGCCTGTCCGGGCGTCCTGGGGTTCCCTGAAGCTCTCTGGGCCTCCCCTCCTCCTGCCTGCTCCCGCATGCACATCATCCGCCTCCTCCCTCTTGTCCCCTCCATATTCTCCTCTCCTCCTCCTCCTCCTCCTCCTCCTCTTCCTCACCCTCCTCCTCCTCCTCCTCCTCCTCCTCCTCCTCCTCCTCCTCCTCCTCCACCTCCTCTTCATCCCGAACGGCATCTCGGAGCCTAGAGTTGCGAGGATGTCTCCAGCGGAACGGGCTGGACCACCTCGTGCGCGGCATCTCGGACCCCAGAGTTGCGACGATGTCTCGGGCGAAACGTGGTGCGAGGAAGTCTCAGGCGAAACGGGCCGGACCACCTCGAGCGCGGCGTCTCAGAGCTCCGAGTCGCGGGGGCCTCCTGGTGCCTCCTGGGGCCTCCTGGGGACCTCCTGGAGCTTCCTCCTGTGGGCTCCTGAACTCCACCTGAGGTTTCCTGAAGCCTCTTGGGGCTCCCAGAGGGGATATCTAACCTGTGGCCGTTTGGGCCTCTCCAAATGGAGGGGGGGGGGCACAAGAGCAGGAAAAATCAACGAATCGACACCGGATGTGTATTAACTTCACACGTTCTGATAGTGGGGTCTCCTGGGAGCCTCCTGGGAATCTCCTGGAGACCCCTGGGGCCTGTCCTGGGCGTCCTGCGGCCTCCTGGTGCCTCCTGGGGCCTCCTGGGGACCTCCTGGGGCTTCCTCCTAAGCCTCCTGTGGCCTCCTGAACTCCACCTGAGGTTTCCTGAAGCATCTTGGGGCTCCCAGGGGGGATATCTAACCTGTGGCCGCTTGGGCCCCTCAAAATGAAGGGGGGGCCACAAGAGCAGGAAAAATCAACGAATCGACACCGGATGTGTATTAACTTCACACGTTCTGATAGAGGGCCTCCTGGGGCCTCCTGGGAGCCTCCTGGGAATCTCCTGGGGGCCCCTGGGGCCTGTCCTGGGCGTCCTGCGGCCTCCTGGACCTTTCTGGGGCCTCCTGAGGCTCGCAGGGTCCCATGGAGGATATGTAACATGTGGTCTTCTGGGCGCCCAGGCTGGACCACCTCTTGCGCAGCATCTGAGAGCTCAGAGTTGCGAGAATGTCTTGTGCGAAACAGGCCGGACCACCTTGCGCACGGCATCTCAGAGCCCAGAGTTGCGAGGATGTCTCAGGCGAGACGGGCCGGACCACCTCGCGCAGGGCATCTCAGAGCTCAGAAGTTCGAGGATCTCTCAGGCGAAACGGGCCGGACCACCTCTCGCGCGGCATCTCCGAAGTCAGAGTTTCGAGGATGTCTCAGGCGAAACGGGCCGGACCACCTCGCGCAAGGCATCGCAGAGCTCAGAGTTTCGAGGATGTCTCAGGCGAAACGGCCTGGACCACCTCTCGCACAGCACCTCGGGGCTCAGAGTTTCGAGGATGTCTCAAGCGAAACGGCCCGGACCACCTCTCGCGCGGCGTCCCGGAGCGCAACTTTTCGAGGATGTCTGAGGCGAAACGGCCAATCCCGGCCAACTCAGAAACGAGAGTTGTGAGGATGTCTCAAGCGAAACGGCCGAAACCATAAAATTTGTGTGAGGATGTCTCTGCTCCGCGTTCTCTCGGCCGGAGTTAGTTTCTATCACAACAGCACCCCGTTCAGCAAGCTGTTTGGGGAAAAATCGTGACGTCGGATGTCTGGGGAGGGCGGAAGGCAGTGCGCGCAGGACGGATGCTGAGGCGGCAGAAACATGCAGAAACGACGACGGCGGGGACGGGGAGGCGGAGGCAGAGGCGCAGCAGCGGGAGGCGGGAGGCGGGAGGAGGGAGGAGGGAAGAGAAACCAGGCGGGAAGTGGGAAGAGGGAGGCGGGAGAAGGAATGAGAGAGGTTGTGATTGGAGCTCCTGTGCTACGAAACGTCTCAGGCAGAATGGGCCAGACCATCTCGCGCGCATCATCTTCGAGCCTCGCATTGCGAGGATGGCTCAATCGAAACGGGCCGGACCACCTCGCGAGCGACATCTTGGAGCTCAGTATTGGAAGGATGTCTCAAACGAAACGGGCCGGACAATCTTTCGCACACGTTTCTTGTCCACATCGCACTCGCTTCACGTTAGGTCCTCTCCTGCAACTCCTTTCCTTCTCCCTCCTCCTCCTCCTCCTCCTCCTCCTCCTCCTCCTCCTCCTCCCCCTCCTCCTGCCTGCTCCCTCATGCACATCATACGCTTCCTCCTTCTCCCTTCCATCTCCTTCTCCTTCTCCTCCTCCTCCTCCTCCTCCTCCTCCTCCTCCTCCTCCTCGACCTCGACCTCCTCTACATCCCGAACGGCATCTCGGAGCCTAGAGTTGCGAGGATGTGTCCAGCGTAACGGGCTGGACCACCTCGCGCGCGGCATCTCGGACCCCAGAGTTGCGACGATTTCTCGGGCAAACGTGCTGCGAGGAAGTCTCAGGCGAAACGGGCCGGACCACCTCGAGCGCGGCGTCTCAGAGCTCCGAGTTGCGGGGGCCTCCTGGGGCCTCCTGGGGCCTCCTGGGGGGCTTCCTCCTGGGCCTCCTGTGGCCTCCTGAACTCCACCTGGGGTTTCCTGACGCCTCTTCGGGCTCCCAGGGTGGATATCAAACCTGTGGCCGTTTGGGCCTCTCCAAATGGAGGGGGGGGCACAAGAGCAGGAAGAATCAACGAATCGGCACCAGATGTGTATTAACTTCACACGTTCTGATAGGCGGCCTCCTGGGGCCTCCTGGGAGCCTCCTGGGAGCCTCCTAGGAATCTCCTGGGGACCCCTGGGGCCTGTCCTGGGCGTCCTGCGGCCTCCTGGAGCTCTCTGGGGCCTCCCCCTCCTCCTGCCTGCTCCCTCATGCACATCATCCGCCTTCTCCTTCTCCCTTCCATCTCCTCCTCCTCCTCCTCCTCCTCCTCCTCCTCCTCCTCCTCCTCCTCCTCCTCCTCCTCCACCTCCTCTTCATCCCGAACGGCATCTCGGAGCCTAAAGTTGCGAGGATGTGTCCAGCGTAACGGGCTGGACCACCTCGCGCGCGGCATTTCGGACCCCAGAGTTGCGACGATGTCTCTGGCGAAACGTGCTGCGAGGAAGTCTCAGGCGAAACGGGCCGGACCACCTCGAGCGCGGCGTCTCGGAGCTCCGAGTTGCGGGGGCCTCCTGGGGCCTCCTGGGGCCTCCTGGTGACCTCCTGGGGCTTCCTCCTGGGCCTCCTGTGGCCTCCTGGACCCCACCTGGGGCTTCCTGAAGCCTCTTGGGGCTCCCAGCCGGGATATCTGACCTGTGGCCATTTGGGCCTCTCCAAATGGAGGGGGGGGCACCAGAGCAGGAAGAATCAACGAATCGACACCGGATGTGTATTGACTTGACACGTTCTGATAGACAGCCTCCTGGGGCCTCATGGGAGCCTCCTGGGAATCTCCTGGAGACCCCTGGGACCTGTCCTGGGCGTCCTGCGGCCTCCTGGTGCCTCCTGGGGCCTCCTGGGGACCTCCTGGAGCTTCCTCCTGGGCCTCCTGTGGCCTCCTGAACTCCACCTGAGGTTTCCTGAAGCTTCTTGGGGCTCCCAGAGGGGATATCTAACCTGTGGCCGCTTGGGCCCCCCAAAATGAAGGGGGGGGCACAAGAGCAGGAAAAATCAACGAATCGACACCGGATGCGTATTAACTTCACACGTTCTGATAGAAGGCCTCCTGGGGCCTCCCGGGAGCCTCCTGGGAATCTCCTGGGGGCCCCTGGGGCCTGTCCTGGGCGTCCTGCGGCCTCCTGGACCTCTCTGGGGCCTCCTGAGGCTCGCAGGGTCCTATGGAGGATATGTCACATGTGGTCTTCTGGGCGCCCAGGCTGGACCACCTCTCGCGCAGCATCTGAGAGCTCAGAGATGCGAGAATGTTTTGTGCGAAACAGATCAGACCACCTTGTGCACGGCATCTCAGAGCTCAGAGTTGCAAGGATGTCTCAGGCGAGACGGGCCGGACCACCTCGCGCAGGGCATCTCAGAGCTCAGAATTTCGAGGATGTCTCAACGAAACGGGCCGGACCACCTCTCGCGCGGCATCTCCGAAGTCAGAGTTTCGAGGATGTCTCAGGCGAAACGGCCCGGACCACCTCTCGCACGGCACCTCGGGGCTCAGAGTTTCGAGGATGTCTCAAGCGAAACGGCCCAGACCACCTCTCGCGCGGCGTCCCGGAGCGCAACTTTTTGAGGATGTCTCAAGCGAAACGGCCAATCCCGGCCAACTCAGAAACGAGAGTTGTGAGGATGTCTCAAGCGAAACAGCCAAAACCATAAAATTTGTCTATAAAAATTGTGTGAGGATGTCTCTGCTCCGCGTTCCTTCGGCCGGAGTTAGTTTCTACCACAACAGCACCCCGTTCAGCAAGCTGTTTGGGGAATGATAACCGGAGTGCAGTATCCCCAAACAGGGTTTTTAGGCCCACTGCGGTTTCCAAGGTCGATTGCGTGCCCGTCCAGTGCG